TATCACACTTCTCCCCACACAAATGTGTTCTCCCTCACCAAACAATACAGTCACCAGCTAGCAATTACAAGTGGAACCTTCACTGGGCTTGGGGAAGTAGGTACCAGTTCCCAGTGACATTCACAAAAAGCAATGACAAAACTGAGTGCTCTGGAAATCCTGTGCTGGTATGGTACTTTCAGGGTAGACAAAAATCTTTCTGATGCTTCCATATAGATTTTTATGCAAACTAATGTGAAGAAAAGCTAAGCTGCAGAATAACATAAACTGAATAGTAGATTTCGGGCTTATTTCAATCACATATTGTGCTGTAATGGGAGATTAGATTTTTCAGCCATGCACTGAACCTTCTTTACTACATGACACAGGTCCTTGGGAGAAAGGTCCATTGACTCAGGAGTTTCTATCACGCTGCCAATCTTCTACTAACCTCTTATTGCCACTCTTGGCATTTGGTCACGGCTTGGTTCCCATTCATGGCCCCTCCCAGCCAGACTCCATGCTCAGCCCTGCGCTTGATGCCAGGAGACCAGCTCACGCATCGCTCACTCACTCACTAGACTCTCAAAAACCCCTCTCTGTGCTGCTTCCTACCCTGTCTTACACACTTGGAAAGGGCTTCTCAGAAGCATCTGCAGCATAACCTATTACTCCCCCTTCAAAGATTTTAATAATCTCCTCTTCTACAGCACATACAACAGCTTGACAAGGGGTATCTAATATTAGACTCCTGATGGGTTGAGGACACCACTATCAAGATAACTGATAATACCTAATTGTTTCTCCTTGTCCTGTCTCTCTGCCTGTCTGGTCTTCCTCCCTACAGCAAAATCATAAGTGCTCTAGACAGAAACAGGATTTTTTTTAAATCTGAATTTACACATAATTTAGCGAAACAGAGCTAGGGTCTGCAAACAGGAGTCCTGTTGCTACAGAAAAATAAAAAGTAAATAGAATCACAAATTATAGTCACTTTTATTAATAGGTTGAAAAGACTAGTCAAAGAAAGTTCAGTGGTGACTTGCTTCTCCCTGGTAGAAACCTTTTGCATAGGGATTATTTTAATGCCCAAGAATTGTTATTTTATTTTGAGATTAATAAGTACTAACTAATAAAATTCACAGTAAAAAAATTATAAGTAAGGAAAAGTAAACTAATCTCTGCCCAAACATAGCAAATACCTCTCAGTGACAGAGGTTTATAAGACTACATAGAAAAATAATAAATGAAAGAAAGCACAGAAACCACATCCATTCATCCTAAACTCTGTGCCACCTGAAAACAACCTATTTATTAAGGCTGGCAGAAAATTTTTTCATTTCAGCCTTTTTTCATGTGGAAATCAGCAAAACATCATCTTTCACAGAAAGAACATTTCACATTTTCATCAAAAGTATTGGTTAAGGCAAAGGAGGGAGGAGGGAAGTAGACTGGGGAGCAAACCTTACTAGAATGGCCCTACACGGCCATTTCATGCAGGCATGGAATAACTCGTTCTTTATGCACAGAAAGCCTTTTTTCTCTGTTTTTGGCTTATTGTCAGGAAGGACAAAACAGACTTAAGGAGTGTCTTCAGGAAAACTGTGGGACTTGGGGAAACATCATGTACAACCATCCATAAGAGTAGCACTCTCTGTAAACCCAGTAAAAGCAATCTGCCACGCAGAATATGATGACTCAAAGACAGCAGAGAGAGCAGAAGTGACAAGGAAGCTGTGGCAGTATATGGAGCAGGACTGTCACTCAGCCCAAAGGGCAATCTCTGCTCTCAAGAAGCAGGTGTGGGGATACCACACTACTACTCAAGATCATATTCCTCTGCCAGCAAATGCAAACCTAAAGCACATGCATACATGATGACCCATACAAGCACCGCTGTTAATACATTTGCAGCATGGTCACACCCTTTTATTTAACATCATCACCTGGAAATGAGTGCAACAAAGAATCTTGTCCTCTGATACTTTATTTCCCTTTGACACTGCTGTATGTTCTGCTAGGCTCAGTGGTGTATCTAACATCAAAGTAAAATGCTGATTGCGCAGTCCCACCATTTCATTATTAATATCATCTTCCTGTTTCTGTGAAGCTGAACTTTAGATTTCAAATAATACTTCTTCTAAAGTCCAGGCTGGTACAGTTTTGATTTGCAAGGTATTTTGTAAGAAAAGGTGTGAAGCATGCAACCTGAATATATAATCTCTAATTCTCTTTGTCAGTTTAGACTCTTTAGTTGTACCCATATCTGTACTAACTGAGTTGCAAATTAACTTTTAAATATATTGCTGACAAGTAGATCTTCCTATTTTAACTAAAAAAAATTTTATGCCTACATATAACAGATGAGCAATTCTATAATTTTAAATAAATCATTGTCATTAATTTGCAATGAGAAGTAGAATCTTTGAAATTTCTAGTACAAGTGAAAATAGCAGCTGTTATCTTGCAAGTTCATTTTAGAAAACTGTGAAATGAAATTTAACCTCAAACACTAAGCTTTGAAGTATCCGACTTCCTATCTTCACGTCTCAGATACCCACCTCCCCTGGCACAGACAGCTCTCAGGCTGACACCAAGCCAGTGATACGCAGAGTCTGTGCGAGGGCTCACAGCCCTGTAGCAGTGAGTCTGCCTTCCAGGCAGCCTATGCACAGCTGCCCCTGGAGTCTCAGAAATCCAGAATCCTTGGCAAAGGCTATCGTTTCAGTTCTGGTGAACCAGACTTTCCAGTAACAAACAGTTATATTAGAAACTGCCCAGCCCACTTAAATCCAAAGTGAAACAGAGTTTTATCAAATTGAGATTGCTGGTAAAATGCTATTTAAATACAAACCAAGAAAAAACTGTAAGTGATTGAAAATAACATTTAGTTTCCCTGAAGCAACTACCTATACATGGGTCCATGTTCTGTAAATTTATATCCTTACAGAAGAGAGACAAAATGCTGAGAAAAGTAACAGGTTTTTAGCACACTCCTATCAAAACATATCCCAACCAAACTGAAAAGAATATGTATAAATAACAATGAAAATTAAAAGCAAATAAGCTGGAAATTCCATTACCTCATCTGAAGTTCTCCCAGTCTGACAGATAAATTATATTGTTATCCTGTAGTTACTTACTTATTGTGCCTCGCACCTATTTCTGACATATTAAAATGAAAACTGTGCTACAGAGGTAAACTGATGGGAAACTTGGATGAAAGTGTAAAAGCTTCAGGTTGCAATTATAGGGTGACTTCTATAAGAAACCAAAGAGATGAAAAATGAAACTGGCTTCCAAGAACTGCAGGTTAAAAATATTTTTGCTAATGGAAATGTGGAAAAAAATTAATTTTGTCTATTTCAACTATATGAAATAACCTTATTGGGGTTACTATTTTGAAGAAGTAGTATGTTAAAACCTCTTAGCTATGTGTCATGTAGCCTGATAGCTTCAGGATGACAAGTCTAAAGTGAAAAGAAATATCACCTTCATGATCTGGGCTGCAAAACTTCAGTTTTACTCACACAGCTGGAAAGCCTGGAGCCTGTTCTGGTACATGATCTTGATGAAGAAGCAAATCACGGGTCTGTTTGGGCATACTGCAAAACTATTTTCCAAGCCCTCTCCAGTGGAAACCAGGGATGAGAGGAAAAAGAACGGCTCAGATCAAGCTTGGAATGTTTAGACAGAGCTATGTTTGTGTCTCTGTGGTCTTCCGGACTGATAGTCCAGAAAAGTTTGTTTTCAAGCACACACCCTTCATTATTCCTCAATTAACTTTTTATTCAGATGTAACCTGTCCTAGGCACAGAAAAGTGAGACTCCTGAAAGGATGGCTTCCATTTTAAATCTATTCTATAGCAACTTCTTACAACAATGAACAGGTTCAAGTTTACTCCTCCTCCCCCTGCTAGTCAGAGTATGCATCACTATTAAACTTTTATAAGATCACGACAGGTTTCTGCATGTCTTCCCACCTACCAGGCCAGAGGAAAGAAAGGGAGCCCCATGTGGAGAGAATCTCTTTTCAAACAGGCATTACAGCAGCCAAGAAAGCAATACCATTGTTCTTTGAAAGAAAACCCTGGAACTGCACAATATGAGAAAGGGGGTATCCAAAATCAGCAGTGAAAATTCTGGAGCCCATCCTCAGCACTCCTAGGTCATACATTACAATTTCTCCTCTAAACAAAAACTTTCACCAAATTCATTGTCACTGCTTAGTATTCAATGAATATGGAAAAGTCACGCACACAGATGCTTGCATAAAAAACTACCTTGATTAAAACAAACTGTTGTCCTCAGCAACTGCCTGCATGTATTCCCAGATCTAATATGCCACGCTCTTCAATTATGACAGGGAAAAAGGAAGGTCCACTCTGACAAACTGCAAAGCAACAGCAAACTAAATAGCTAGCTCCTCCATCGCCTCAGCATAAGTGTGCACCTAAACAGCATTTTAAGAGGGAATGATAATGCAGAAAGGGAGAAAATAACATGACAGAAAGAAAAAGGAGCAATTTATCATTATCAGCATAGGTTTTATTCAGGTATATATACTGGAAGAAAGCCAAGAAACATGAGCCAGAAGTAAATTACAGTGTGTCCAGCCAAGACACCAGTCTGGAAAGTAAGGGGATCAGGAACACAAAACATGCGACAGCAAGCAACTGCGATGCAGTTTAAACACAGCCATGGAGACCAAATGCTCCTGAAACCCTGGCAGAATGGATATTACCTCCCCACTGTGGTCTCAGTGCAGGTACATTAATGTAGCTGAGTCTTGAAGTGTATTACTGCTACACAATTAGCTCTGTCTGTGTTCAAGTAAACTTCATTAGAAATTCATTTGCACTAAGTGACTCAGGTTATTAGGCCTTTGTATACGTGTTCAGGGACCAACTGCAGTAAATCCAACTGAGAAAGGACACGGTCTTCCAATTCCCTTAATGTTTTGAACAAGGATAAAATCTCCCAAAGAAAACAAGTGTTTTAGTGATATTTGCAAGGCTTACCTTGCCCAAACCAGGGGTGTCTTTCACTTTGCTGACTGCCCTCAACAAACATGGTGGTGCAGGTGGTGGGGAAGTCTGAAGAATACTGCTGAAGCAGGTAGAGAAGAGAGGAGATTCAGGAACAGACGATGCAGAAGGCCTGTGCTTCTTCTTTTTGGAAGACAGGTTCAATTTCTGAGCAGCTCTGTAGGAAAAACAGGAGTAAGGTAAAGCATCCTCAAACTCATCAACAAGAATGAATAAAGGTATTTTTCAGGTTACTGTTTGTGTAGGCTCTCAATTTTGACCTCATCAATCCCAAAAGTTTTAAAATTCTTGTTCCTCATTTGTTATTAATAGTTTAATTCCATTGAGTTCACAGAGTTGCTCCAAATTTGCAATCTGCATTAAATAGGGTCATAATTGAGCCTCTATCAGTATCTTACCTGTTGAAACAATTCAGCTTGCAAGAAGGCTCAAAACCCTCCAATTAAATCAACGAGCAATCTGGCAATTTCTGTTTTAAAATTAAGTTTGGTCACCAAATGGTTCACACAGAATTGTGTCTCATTCGTAAGTCTCTGATTAGAAGATTAATACTTGTGCAGTGTTTGGATGCAAGCAGTAGTTAATTACTAATTAACTGTTAAGTTAATTAGTAATAAATGCTCACTGCATTTGCTAAGGTGTAAGAAGCCTTGCACTAGCTGTTTGAAATTTTTATTACCTCTTAAAACATAAGCTAATCTAAAAACTGAACAAATGGTAACCAATGAAAATATTGCTGTTTGCGACGAGATGGAGACAATCATACAAACTCCAGCCGCATTAACCACTAAGCAGCGAAAACAGTGAAGACTGTTTTTAATAGTAGGTTATTCTTAGATAAGAACACTGAAGTTTGTATAGACTTGGATTAAAAAACTAAGCTTTTCTGGAAGAGAAACATTCAGTACTTTCATTTTAAAAATGTTTTATTTTGATAGATAATTCAACGTTCACTCTTTGTTGCAGCTGCTTTGGTCCAACACTTGTGCATTCTGCACTGCCCATGGATAATGTAAAAATTAATCATGCTGTCCCGTGGCTTCCTTTTTGTAAAATGACCACTTTAAACAGAGCAGGTCAATGGGAGCGTCGTCTCATTGGAGAGATAGATAAAACAATTTCAGGTTGTTTGCTTTAGCAGACAAATTGGGACTTAAGATAGGTATAAAAAGTAGTCTCTACTGACAGTAGCTCTCCTCACTTTGCTGAAGTGTGACAGTCAAGACCAATAATTCTAAATCCTCCTAAGTTTTAAGAAGCCTTAGTTCCCTTACACTGGTATCAGTATATATTATCCAACTCAGAACTTACAAAAGTAATTGCATCATTTTATCCCAAGGAGTTAGGGAAAAAGATTGAATTTTATATATATACACACAAACACATATTTCAGTATGCAAGTAACTTGTGTTTGTATCATGTGTCTCAAGCACATGAACAAATTACTGCTGGGCATGAAATTACCGCTGGGCATGAAATTACCATATGTCAGTTGGTCACATGCACACTGCATGCACCACTAGTATATGGCTTTTTTCCCTATGGCAAGTTAAAAGCAGTTTCAGACAGATTAGTTTCTAATAAAAGGAAAACACTAGAAGATTTTAATTCACCTGACACAGAATTAGAACTCAGAAGGTTCTGTACCACCTCCTTGTCCTTCCCCTTCACTCTGCCCTAGACTGATGCTCATAATCTAGCCCTCTCTTTTAAGCTTCTGCATTTTTTTCAAAGAAAACATAATCAAAATATGTTGGTCAAAAAAATTTTTCCTCTTCCTAGCAACATTTCAATGGTTTGAGAGAATTCAATGATTTCAGCTTCCACACTGTCCATGACTAACACTTCCATGAAGTTGTCCATGTTAAGTCAAGACCTTCTGTGTGCCTTAGTTTCACTACAAAATTATTTCAAGGAAAATCTTCTACTATGTGCAACAATTGAAAACATAAATGTCAGCCAAACATACTGAAAAATTTACCCTTGTGGTCAAGCTCATTAGTCCAGTTTTAAATACAGGCAGTGACTCCACTTACTGTGGTCATCCATCTGGTCTCACTGACTCACTTTGGGTGAAAATACATTTCCTAAAAGCTGTTTTCTGAATTGACTGACAGAGCTATTATTCCTCTTGCTACAAAATGCTTCTCCAGACTTTGCTATTCCTTTTACAAAGCTGACAATGTAATACAAACCACTTTTTGACCCAACCAAGCCCATAGCTGGCATTTTCTTAAAGCAAAAATGTTGTTGAAGGTACCTGGCCTTTTCAAGATCTTGGAACTATATTCTAGTTTGACAGTTACAACCTTTCAGACTGCATTCAGGTGGAACAACCTGAATTTTCATTATATTTTTGGCCTGCAATTGGTAAAATATATGAAAAACAATAAACTATTTCCCAGAACTTCATGGGGTTTTCTGTTTTTCCCCAAGGAGAGAAAAATCAATGCATGGCAGGCTAGAAAATCATTACAAGTCCTATCAGACTTGACTGAATTTTGAAGGGGATCAAAAAGGCAATAAGCATCAAGTAATTCCCAGAGCACTTAGCTGGGAAGAGAAGGATATTTTAACCAGATGTAGGCTGCAACATGACACAAATACATAGAGTGTGGCTTCCTTATGAGCACATTTGCATGAGCAAAATAATTCAGCTTGGGTGGCTAGCATTGCTCTGAACACAGCTGGTCATGCCAGCTGATGCTGATTTGGCTCTGTGATCCAGTACAGGAGGTTAGAAATTCTCATGTTTTACTTTTTCAGGGAGTCAGAGGCCTGGCTCTCCCATGCAGACTCTCTGCATCACTAGATATCTCAGGCAAAGCACCAGGCTGGACTTGGGAGACCTGATGCTGCTGCAGCTCACAGCCTGCCCAGCTCAGCCAGCAGCTGTTTAGGCTCTGCTCTTTGTACAGGAGCCAACTATTTTTTTTTTCATTTAGTATCTAGTATAATAGGACTCTGATTTCCACTCGAGACTCTGCACAGTATTGCATAATGGTAATGGCAATGATGGCAGCATGGCTTTATGTACAGACAATAAGCTGATCATACTCAAAGTCATATCAGCTCCCACTTGAGCCCAGTGATATCAGCCATGAACTATGCAGGGGTGTGCAGTGGGCTCCAGTGCATCGTAAACCACTTCCCCACTGTGTATGCGGCATGGCTGTGGTAGGGATTGTGTCCCCAGAGACACACAAGGAACTTGATCCAAATTAAATTTTTGAAGTGCGCAATTTAAACTGTATTAGATCACTGTGTGGACACATTCATTCACAACAGAACTGTATTTAATGTCATTTCACTGAATTACCTTCCAAAATAATGCAAGTTTAATCCAGTTTAGCTAATATACTTTGGATTAACACCTTCAGATATTTTGGACTATTTTTTCTGGATGTAAACAAGCATCTGGAGACTTTTTGAAAGCTTACAAGATTTCTGGCAGATGAAATAATCACAAGATCAAGAGCTGAAATTGCAGGAGGGACATTAGAAAGTAGATTAAAGTTCAATCCAAATAAAACTAATAGATTGCTGGCAGCAAAGGGGAACTGCTTTGAAAATCCACCTAATCCATAGCAAAGATTGAGATCATTCTTTGAAAGGACATTCTCTGCTTTTTGTTTTTTCAAATAGAAGTCTAATAAGGTATATCTTTGGGCAGTCAGAATACTTTTTGCCTCCCACCTATGCAGAAATGTTGATACATTTTTTCCCTTAAAAATTCATGACCAGGTTGGGATTTTCAAATACACCGATTGTAGAGCTAAGTCCCCTACACTGGAAACCAATTCATGATTGATAGGAACTTTATGAAAGCTGAAGGTCCTCCATGGGATTCACTGAAGAAATGGAAGTAAACCAGCTTAGAGGTCATTCTGAGAGGTAAGGGGACAAAGTATGCTCTTTGGAAACTTGTCTAGAGAGACAAATGAGTATACATGGATTAAATAATTTTTAACACAGAACAAAGGCATTTCTAGGCTTGATGGAAATAACTCTGCTAAGTTATTCATATTACTTATAAGAAATATAAGAATGGAGTTGATGAAACTCTTAAGACAAAATAAAAACTGTTACGGAAAGCTCTGTAAATACCTTGCTTAGAGAACTCATTGGGTAATTTCTTATAGTATAATATGCATAAGGAAACTCCGTGGAAGGAACAGTTGGAAAATTCATGGTTTCTAAATTAATGCTAATAAAATTCAAGGGACACCTCTTTAGCTTCATAAAAAAAAAAATATTTTTTCAGCAACACATCATCCAAGGCAAAGTTAAAACTTCAGGACCCACTGTCAAAGTAGAGGTCACTAAGGCCACTAGGTTCATTAGATTCAGAGGGAGGTGAAACATTAAGTGAATACTTAAAATATTATTCACAGTTGTGTCAGCAAAGATCATCATTCATAAGTAACACTGACTGACTTGCTCCTTCATCACTGACATCTGAAAAGAATTACTTAGGTGTGTATCTCCGTATAATTATTCCTTACTGGATATTCATACTCCACTACAAGGCATTCAATACTTACTAACATTGGAAACAAAATTCCAGATGACAGGAGCCACTGAGCTAGCATATTAGTTGTTGTGTTAAAATAGAAACTGAAATATGCTCATTTTCATATCATTTTTTCCACAGAGAAAATGGTTCTCAAGCTATGGAGGTTGAACAGCCATGGATTAGCTAAATGTAATGTAAATATTTACAATTTTAATTAAAACTAAAAATCTATTTTTCTTTTTTATTTGGAGGTATACATTTTATTTTGTAACACAAATACTCTTGGCTGGGAACACCATTCAAAGAGTAAGGAATGAACTTTATCCGTGCAAGGAATGGCTTACCAGAGGATGTTCTGGTTTGACAAGCCCGAAGGAGGTTAATGATATTCCCTAACAACTAAAACACGACCTTTACTTATCCAAAACTGCCTTGCCTGCTGTATCATAATGCTAGATTGAAAAATAGATGCAAGTTTAGTTTGGAAATGAGTCTTCTGAGCAAACTCTTTAAGCATATTTGTGCAGCTATATCACCCGTTATAAAATACACCGATATTTATGGCCAGAAGTGTTGGATACCCAGCATGAAACGCTCATATCCTATGGTCTCAAGTTGGCCACCTAAAAGTGAAAGATACC